ATGTGTGTGCATGTGTGGGTCAGAGTATTCATCGGCAGGGGCTGTATAAACAAAGCCTTCTGTCATTATTGAGTTTTCAGGATGGAATGTGGATTCAGTGAATCCTCAGAATCCAGCGGTTACGTAATGCCAAAAAACAAGAGCACTGCGTCAGTGTGGCAGGAGCACGTTATAAAATTCACCTGTGAAGTAGAACAGGTGTGTCGCAATTCTAGTACATGAAAAACGTCTCAGCCTTGTCTAAATGATCATCAGCAGTGAGAACAAAGTCCTTGCGGCCGGTCGATAACAGTTTTACCTCTATAATGCTTATTCATTAACTGCGTCTGAACAAATATTGTTTATGCTGCTTTTTCAGATCTTTTGCATTAGATTATGAAGATGTTAAAATGTAAGGTTTTAACACTTTTAGTGATTAATAGATACAGATTCAACAGATACAGATACACACTAAACTGAAATTAATCAGTTTGAACTGCCTGACGTGCTGAAATATTCTACAATTTGAAAAAGCAGCTTTACAAAAGGTGTACATTACTGCATTTCAATCAAATTAAGTTAAAGTTACAATCAAATAATATAAGTTATTATTTACACTTACCGGCCACTTCATTAGGTACACATCATTAGTATCGGGTTGGACCCATTTTTGCCTTCAGAACTGCATTAATCCTTCGTGACATAAATTCAACAAGGTAATGGAAATATTCCTCAGAGATTTTGGTCCATAGTGACATGATAGCATCACGTAGTTGCTGCAGATTCGTCGGCTGCACATCCATAATGTGAATCTCCTGTTCCACCACATCCCAAAGGTGCTTTATTGGATTGAGTTCTGGTGACTGTGGAGGCCATTTGAGTACAGTGAACTCATTGTCATGTTCAAGAAACCAGTCTGAGATGATTTGCAGTTTATGACATGGCGTGTTATCCTGCTGGAAGTAGCCATCAGAAGATGGGTGCACTGTGGTTATAAAAGGATGGACGAGGTCAGCAGCAATACTTAGGTCAGGCTGTGGTGTTGACACAATGCTCAATTGGTACTAATGGGCCCAAAGTGTGCCAAGAAAATATCCCCCACTCTATTACACCACCACCAGCCTGAAACATTGATACAAGGCAGGATGCATTTATGTAGCCACAGCCATATCACCATGTAGCCCAAAACCGGTTACTCACTAAAGCTAAGCAGAGCTGAGTCTGGTTAGTACCTGGATGGGAGTCCACATGGGAAAACTAGGCTGTTGTTGTGAGTGGTTTTAGAGAGGCCAGCAGGGGCGCTAAACCTGTGGTCTGTGTGAGTCCTAATGCCCTAGTAAAAGGGAAGGGGACACTACACTGTCAGTGGGCGCCGTCTTTCAGATGAGATGTTAAACCGAGGTCCTGACGCTTTAGGTGTATGGCCATAAATAGTAAATGTGTTATATAAATACACATTACATTACATGTTGTTGATGCCAAATTCTGACCCTACAATCTGAATGTTGCAGCAGAGTTACTGGAACCAGTCTGGCCATTCTCCTCTAAACTCTAGCATCAACAAGGCAGTTGCGCCCACAGAACTGTTGCTCACTGGATCTTTTCTTTTTCAGACCTTTTTCTTTAAACCATAGAGATGGTTGTACGTGAATATCCCAGTAGATCAGCAGTTTCTGAAATACTCAGACCAGCCAACTATACCAAGTTTAAAGTCACTTAAAATCTGATGCTCGGTTTGAACTGCAGCAGATCGTCTTGACCATGTCTACATGGACAAGTGTACCTAATAAAGTGGCCGGTAAATGAATAAACAAACAATTAACTGGCCCGTACGGGGATCGAACCCGCGACCTTGGCGTTATTAGCACCACGCTCTAACCAACTGAGCTAACCGGCCCATATCTACTTCAGTGTTCAGCAGAAGAAAAAAACTCCAAAGGTTAGAAACTACTTCAGGGTGAGTAAATAGTAGTAAATAGTGAGTCAATTTTTATTTTTCGGATCCCTTTAAGCAAAAATACATAATGGAATACGGCATTAGTAACTGTTACCCTGTTAACAAACCCATCCCAAACAAGTTCCCAAATACAGTTTTTCTCTATTGGTTTGGCTCATTTCTTGAAACAGAAACTAGCCTACATTCTCAAAACAACATGGACAAACCTCCAAAGCACTTGGCAATTGTTCACAACAGAACTGAATTTCTCATTCATTTTATAAAATTGCAAATGTCTAAGTACATCTTTGCAAATGATTAAGTACAGGTAGCTGACATTTAGCACAATTTTCAAGTAGATAGATAGATAGATAGATAGATAGATAGATAGATAGATAGATAGATAGATAGATTGATAGATTGATAGATTGATAGATTGATAGATTGATTGATTGACATTGTACATTTAACATCAATAAAGTTAAATGTTATATAGATATTTATAATCTATAGACACCTATAACATTTAAATGCCACTTCAACTGACCCCTCTTCGTTTCCCAAAAGCAAATGTTTATGTTGGAAAAGCAGCAGATGAGCAGTTTAGCAAGCCCGAGAAGGTCCGATTTTGGCTGGGGGTTTTTAAGCTTTGTGGTTTTGCAAGTCGTCAAGAGCGGAACTTGAGGTCTGTCGTCATCTAGTGGTGAGACTGTACACTAGACTGTAGGCTATTACTGTATGCCACACATTCAGTGTTGCTGCCGTGCGAAAAATGTGCATGTTGTTGACAAAAGGAAGTTAAATGGTTATTTGGTTTTGAGCATTTGACCGTTTCAACCCATTTAATCTTCCTGTCTGTTATGGCTTGTATGCACTTAATACTGTTATGTCAGTCCATTGCATAAAACTGTCTGTCTGTCTATGGTCTTATTTTATCTATCTATCTATCTATCTATCTATCTATCTATCTATCTATCTATCTATCTATCTATCTATCTATCTATCTATCTATCTATCTATCTATCATCTATCTATCTATCTATCTATCTATCTATCTATCTATCTATCTATCTATCTATCTATCTATCTATCTATCATCTATCTATCTATCATCTATCTATCTATCTATCTATCTATCTATCTATCTATCTATCTATCTATCATCTGTCTACACTTTTTACAATATTTGAATTTTCTTTCTTATGGAGAAAGTTTTATTTGTTTTATTTTGGCTAGAATTAAAGCAGTTTTTTAATTTTTTAAAAATCATTTTGAGGTCAAAATTATTAGCCCCTCTCAACAGAACAAACCATTGTTATACAATAACTTGCCTAATGACCCTAACCAGCCTAGTTAACCTAATTATCCTAGTTTAGCCTTTAAATGTCACTTTAAGCTGTATAGAAGGGTCATGAAGAATATCTAGTGAAATATTATTTACTGTCATCATGGCAAAGATAAAACAAATCAGTTATTAGAAATGAGTTATTAAAACTATTATGATTAGAAATGTGTTGAAAAAAAATCTTCTCTCCGTTAAACAGAAATTGGGTTAAGAATAAACAGGGGGATCTAATAATTCAGGGGGGCCAAGTATTTGGTGATATCACTAACTCAATTTCAATTACAACAATTTAAATACAATTTCAATCTTCTTACAAGACATTCGAAAAGTCTAAACATTAAATAATAATTCACTGTCTAACAATGCCATGCACGTTCATTATAATATATTGTATTTTTAAATGTCAGCACATATCTAGCTTTTTTTTATTATTTAATATTAGTCATAGTTCAATCAATAAACTTAAACAAGATATTACAACCATAATAACCAAACAGAGATTAGAATATGTAATATACAATAGAAATAATTATATGTACTTGCAATATGTAATGTACAATATATTTCACACACACACAAAACAATAAAACAATGAAAAAATATAATTAAAAAGTCCATGGTATAAATAGCATAAATAAATCACATATAGTGCATTTTGCTTTACTATTTTTCAACCTAAGAAGTAATTCAATTTAGTGTTTTATATCTGTCTGAAATAACAAAAAAAGGGGTTTCCTTGGGCCAATATCTGTTTTTGCTTGTGGCACTTGTCCATAATTCAACAAAGATTAACAGGGGTCACACTTGGTGGTAAACTTTCTCTATTAAAATAGAAATGTACATCTTTCTCAGAAGATGTATTGTTTTCTTATTGTGTTTTTATTTGAACTGATTGTTCTAGCTGTTCTGTACGGTGAACTTGAGTGTCATGAAAAGCGCCTTTAAATAAAATGCATTATTATTATTATTATTTTTAATTATTATTATTATAGAAAAAATACTTTTTTACCTGAATATACAAAGGATGCCTTCCAAATCAATTTAAGACATTTGACTATAAATGCAATTTTGACACATAGCCTGGTTTGTGGGGGTACTTGAAAGTGACGTCATCATTCATGCGCGTTCAAACCACTGACCCATTAATAACGAACTTTTCCCCGTGATGGGTTGCGGCTGGAAGGGCGTCCGCAGCGTAAACATAATCTTGATAAGTTGGCGGTTCATTCCCCGAAATAATAAAGGGACTAAGCCGAAAAACGAATGAATGTTATCGAACTTGTTGTTTTAATGATTAAAAATGTGAGAAATTAAAAGATTATGAATGTGCATGGTGTCTTTTAAATGTCTTCCATTTTGTTTTTGTTTTTTATTTTAATGTCAAATATAATTGTAACTTTTGTTGTTGATGCCTGTTTTGTCCTGTACGTCTTGCAGTTTACAAATGCGCAATAAAAAAGCACGTGTAGACTAATCTGCTAAACACTAGCGAAATTTATGATTCATATTTGTATTCAAAACAATGCGTAATGTTCAATAATGTGTCATAAACTGTTTATTCTTTGCTTGAAAACAATACAGAGTGACAGCTAAACTTAGCATTACATAACAATGTAACTACAGTACACGTTTCGTAATTGTTCACAGGATTAGATGCTGGCGTTGTGAGTGCAAAGTGTAATTATTTGATGTCTCATTTGCCTAAACCACCAAACAGTGCAGAGGCGGACGCGTGAGCGCATAACAGTAGTTTCTCTCTTCACAAAAAACACGCCAGTCTCTGTCTGAACACGGTTCAACAGCATGTAGCGGAAACTTAAACAGAACCGCCTCGGCACGCTATGTCTCAATACTTTTTTCTTTTACAAATCAACGTGAGGATCTGCCTTGAAGAAACTCTGCCTTGAAGTCTGGATAACAGAAGACACAGATGAAAAAGACAACACTTTACTGACTGTGGGAATGAACTCCTCCAACTCATCGTAAGTTAACGCTCATCTCTAGCTTGTTCGTTTTAACAGTTTACCATGGTAACCACAGTTCCGTTTAGTTTTTGGTTGATAAGATATGGCCTGCCAAAATAGTCTTATTGTTTATTTAGGTTACTTCCAACGAATTCTGTCAGAATTTAGATTATCTAGATAATATTAAGCTATTTGCATCTAACGTGTCACAAAAAATGTGTGAACCTTTGGTCTTTATTTTAAGTTTAAAGTTTACTTTATGCATTTGCGATACAGTTTCAAATGGTTAGCGTATAAAATAAGCTAGTGTGACTAAAAGTGAGAATCAAAACAAAGAAAAAATGACTAAAATAACCCAGGGAGAGACCACATTTCCATTTGCCGCCTTTGCATCTGAGAATTTCCAATGATTGCTGTTTGATTTGAATTCATCAAAAAAGGAGATAACCTACTTTTGGGTTTTTGAGCTTACTATATTTGATAAAACCGTTTTCGACGGAAGAAATAGCCCTTTAGAAATGTATCATTAGAAATGAGTCTGCAGATGAATTTGACCGGTCTGTAACATACATTTAGGCTACATCAAATAATAATCAAATAAATAAATGAATGAATGAATTAATAGGAAATAAAATAATTAATAGAAATGTAGGAATTTCTTTCTTCAAGTGAACCAGGGCTGGACTGGGGCAAAAAATCAGCCAAGGCATTTTGGGCCAGAGCGGCCCACTACATTCAATCAAAATGCTATCTATCTACTTACGTCCAATATTTTTATCAACTCATATTTTATAAAACACAAAAGCCATATATATGAAATAAATAAATAAATACAAACTTTAATCTCAATTTAATTCATGTATACTGTCCATAAAGATATTTGTTGAGTTCTAAAAAATACACTATTCATTCATTCATTCATTCATTCATTTTTTTGTCGGCTTAGTCCCTTTATTAATCTGGGGTCGCCACAGCGGAATGAACCGCCAATTTATCCAGCAAGTTTATACGCAGCGGATGCTTAAACTAGATTAAGCTGATTGGCTGGTCGACCAGCCTGGTTTTAGAGGGGATTTGGCCATTTCCAGGCGGGTTTCCAGACATTCCCAGTCTGGTCTTACTTGGTCAGGCTGGAAAATGACCACCTAAAAACAGCTTGACCAGCCTGACATAGCTGGTTTTCAGTGGCGGAAAGAGTACTGAAAAATCATTCTCAAGTAAAAGTATCATTACTTACCTAAAAATGTAGTGCAAGTAGAGTAAAAGTATTAGTTGTAAATTTTACTCAAAGTATGAGTAAAAAGTAGTCCTTTCAAAAGCACTCAAGAACAGTGAGTAGTGAGTATTACGTTGTAAAAAGCTGATGCATTTACATGTTTTTTGTGGATGTGTGTAATATTTGGTATGATTTAGATGGGTGACGCAGTAGTGCAGGTAGTGCTGTCGCCTCACAGTTGGCGTTTCTGTGTGGAGTTTGCATGTTCTCCCTGTGTTCACGTGGGTTTCCTCCAGGTGCTCCGGTTTCCCCCACAATCCAAAAACATGCGGTACAGGTGAATTAGGTAGGCTAAATTGTCCGTAGTGGATGAGTGTGAATGAGTGTGTGTGGATGTTTCCCAGAGATGGGATGCGGCTGGAAGGGCATCCGCTGCGTAAAAACGTGCTGGATAAGTTGGTGGTTCATTCCATTGTGGCGACCCCAGATATGTCAACCAAAATTTAATGTCTAAGACGTCATAGTGGTAACATCCACACAACGTTGGATTCTGACGTCAACCCGATTTTCATTTCCAAACAAAATGCAACATCCCCAAGACTTTGGGGTACAACGTCAATCTGACGTCATGTTGACCTCTTATGCCTGCTGGGTGTTTAAGGCCATTTCGGTCATCATACAGTAAACATCCATCATCTTCTCATCAGTGACACACATCTAAAAAGTCTTTGGGTCATTGCGTGTAAAGATTATAATCTTCTTTTGGACACTTTTAATGCCTCTAAACAGTTTGCTGCAGTTATAAATTGTCTTGAGGTCTATTATGATGTAATTTACCTTTGTGGGGTTTGATTGGACAGGAATCACAGCACTGATTTTTCTAATCCACATAGAAACTGCAGTTTGAAGGAAAGTAGTGGAGTAAAAAAACAAAACTGCACAAAAAAATGTAGTCAAGGGAAAGTAAAAGTGCACATCTTTAAAACTAAATTACAATTCCTGAGAAAAACTACTCAATTACAGTAGTTTGAGTATTTGTAATTTGTTACTTTACACCAATGCTGGTTTTGGCTGGGCTTCCAGCCTGGCTAGGGTGGTCAAGATGGTTTTAGCTGGTCACTTAACAGCCTGACCAGCTAAGACCTGGCTAGAAATGGCTGTAAACCAGCCTGGAATGGCCAAAAGCCCTCTAAAGCCAGCCTAGGCTGGTTTAAGCTGGATTTTTGACATCCATAGTAGTATAAAAAACACTTTGGAAGTTAATGGCTGTTTTCTTTCCAACGTTCTTCATCATATCTTCATTATATCTTCCTTTGTTTTCAACAGAAGAAACTCAAACAGGTTTGGGACAAGTGGAGGATGAGCAAATGATAACATTTTTGGCTGAACTACCACTTTAAGAATAAAAAGATAATTTCACAACTATTTTGGTTTCTTATTAAACTTACAGTTTTTTTTAAATAATTATTTATTAATACGTTCAGACTCCTTTTATCCAAATGGAAGGATAAGTTCAACCAATTAATCACCTTTATGTATTTCTTTATTCTTTAAACAATGACACCCGGATGTGGTTAGTCTCGGTAGCTGGCTATTTGCATGTATCTTCTTACTATGTTTGTTTTTAGATGAGACAGAGGATAAGAGTCTCGTCCCTACAACTCTGTGTTCGCAGCTTAATTCATAATTCACATCGCTTGTTAAACTTTTTTTTTAACTACAGGATTGCAGATATAAAAATCCAGACACATAATCAAAAATTCATAGATTATAATTTGATTATTCGGGAGCAACAAGGGAAGCTCAAAACTTTGAAAATGTAACCACCATGTGTTTTATCGAAAACAATCTGGCACAGGCAACACACATACACACCCACACACACACAGATAACAGAATTCAATTCGATACCCTTTTTAAAAAGCGTAGGCACCTCACCACACAAGAAAGGAAATACCTGCCAGGATGTGCTGCAGGACGCTTGACAAACCTCAAACTCTTTACTATAAATCTACGTAAACATAGTGTGAAAAGAGCTTTTTGAGAGGTTGGTCAATATACTGGCGCTATTTACCTCTAACAAGAGTAAATTAGTACTATGATGGTGTGTTTTAGGGCAGGATAGAGCACCATAACCATAGTCTACTAATTAAAAATAACATCATACATAAGAGCGAGACATTAGCAAAACATATGATTCATATTTGTATTTAAAACAATGGCCTAGTGGGTAGCACTTTTACCTCACAGCAAAAAGTTTGCTGGTTCAAATCCCGGCTGGGCCAGTTGGCATTTCTATGTGGAGTTTGCATGTTCTCCCTGTGTGGGCGTGGGTTTCCCCTACAGTTCAAAACATTGGGTGTTAGTGAACTGAATAAACACAATTGTCTGTAGTGTACGAGAATGAGTGTGTATGGTTGTTTCCCAAATACTGGTTAAGGACATCTGCTATGTAAAGCATATGCTGGAATAGTTGCCGGTTCACTCCGCTGTGGCAACCTCTGATAAATCAGAGACTTAGCTGAAGAAAAATGAATGTTTTGTGTCATAAGCTTATCTAAAATAGTATGGAAACTACTTTAACACACCCAATGTGTATGTTTAGAAAACTACTGTTCCCTTTTCTGTTAGGGGTTCCTCAAAGAGCTATTTTAGCTCCCTTCTTAATTTCCATTTTTATTAAGAGTTTAGGCCTTGAAGTTGAGAGCTGTATGCAGATGGCACAATCATCTGTACTGCAGCACCATCTATAAATGAAGCCCTACTAAATTTACAGAATGTGTTTCATTCATTCACAAATACACTATGGCCGATTTAGTTTATTCAGTTCACCTGTACTGCATGTCTTTGAACTGTGGGGGAAACCAGAGCACTCGGAGGAAACCCACGCCAACACGGGGAGAACATACAAACTCCACACAGAAATGCCAACCGATGCAGCTGGGGCTCGAACCAGCAACCTTCTCTGTGTGAGGCGATCATGCTACATACTGAGCCATCCATTGTGTCACCCTCAGAATGTGTTTCATTTGATAATGCATTCATTGTTATGTTTGAAACTGGTATTGAATGTAAAAAAGGACATATATTATGTGACTTTTAGTCATACTCATTCCAAAACAACAGATTTGGTTATTTCAACATTACACTGTAAAACAAATGTTGGGGTCCCACACAATTTCTTTATGATGTCCCAACATAACATAATTAAGTTGCCCCCCCACCCCCCACCCCCGACCCCCATTAAACTTAAGAATTGTGTTTTCAATTCATTTTAAAAGTAGTTTAAACAAGCAGCAAAAACTATTTTTTAGTGCAGACTTCTTTCGAAAATGTATCATAATTATTTAGGAGTAAATAAATAGTACAATTTCAATAAATTCATACATTCATTTTCTTTTCGGCTTAGTCCCTTTATTAATCTGGGGTCGCCACACCGGAATGACACATCAACTTATCCAGCATATGTTTTTCACGCAGTGGATGCCCTTCCAGCTGCAACCCATCTCTACAGCACTACCTACTGTGCCACCGCGTCAACAATTTCAATAAATAAACATTGATAATCTGCTGAAGAAGCTTAAATTAAAACATATATTGTTTAAAGGGATAGTTCACCCGAAAATGAAAATTAACTCACCCTCAGATGATTACAAACCTTTATGAGTTTCTTTGTTCTGTTTTATTCTCATCCAAAAATGAAAATTTACTCACCTTCATTTCCTCAAGCGATTCCAAAACTTTGTTCATTCATTCAAATTCGGCTTAGTGTGTACTCACACTATGTACAGTTGCCTTGAAC